CAGGCAGTATGTAGTAAAGCAGGCAGGCAGTATGTAGTAAAGCAGGCGGTATGTAGTAAAGCAGGCAGGCGGTATGTAGTAAAGCAGGCAGTATGTAGTAAAGCAGAGGCCAGGATGTCATCTTCTCGATTATTTAGCTTTTGAAACTCTAAATCCCAACATCCAGAGAGCACACATGGCATGTCCAGCCAGCACTGAAGAAAAAGGCCCAGGCACTGCTGTACACTAGGTGGCAATGTCAAATCACTCTTGAGTCTTTCAAGATTCACTGTTAAGTGCTTACTTAGTCAGTTTCAAGGAAGTAACTCTGATTGCCAGGCTTGCTCAGCAAGTGTCTTCAGCTATAAAGACAGTGCCAGCTCACAGCCTCATAGAGGTGGGTACTGCTGCCATGGAGACCAGCATGTCTGAGCTGTTGCAGTTGTTAGCAGAAGTGATTCCTAGCCAGAGGGACTAGAGACAGCCTTAGACTGGAAGAGGCTAGGAACAGCACTATCCTGGCCTGCAAATGGTTTTGCTTTTTTTCTTTCTGGGTTTTAGTTTGGTTTAGTTTGGTTTTTGATGGGGTGAACTCAATTCGCAGAGAAATGAAGGCCCTAGCATCCTGATCAATGAGTCTGATGGGCAAATGCACTACATACACTTCCAGAAAGCATTTCTTCACTCTGAAGATCCTGCCACCCTTCCCTTGGTCCCATCTTCTTACCCAAGGCAGCCATGTTCAGATTTCTCTCCTCATTGATTTATTCCTCTGCCTGTGGCTTCTGTCACCTTGCATGAAGGACGAGTAGGGGAGAATTCCCTCTACTACATGTTGTGGATCCTGGCCATGGTTGAGAATATTTCAAGGATCAGGCAGGCTGATGCCCCCCCTTTAATCCCAGCAGATCTCTGTGAGTTTAGGACCAGCCTGATCTACATAATGAGTTCCAGGCCAGCCAGAACTACACATTGAAACCCTGTCTCAAGCCAAAATTAAAAATTAAACCCACACCAAATATGAGAATATTTTAAGAGATGGGAGATGGCTCAATGTGTAAAGTCCTTGCCGTACATTCTTAAGGACCTAAGTTATGCATAAGTCATCTTATGTTGCCTCTTGACTCCATACAGTGACACATGGACAAATCGATATGCACATGGCACATACCAGCATATAACCCCCACACACAAACACATACTATTTAAGATTTAGGCAGGTGTGGTAGCACGTACTTGTAATTTCACTATTCAGGCAACTAAGGGAAGAAAATTGTGAGTTCAAGGCTGGCCTGGACTACATAAGGTTCTCTATCAAAAACAAACGGGAAAATGTTAAATAGTCAGGGTTATAGAGGCTGAGCACTTCCTTGCATGACCAAAGCCCTAGATTTGAGCCCCAACATCACAAATAAATGAAAGTGAGCAGTTTGTTTCCTGTGTTGGACATGAGCATATGAAGTCAGGGTACATGTATGAAGACCCTATCTTAACTTCATGGGAATTGTCCAGCCACAGGAGACTGGTTAGTTGTGTGTACTCTTGGCTGGAGCTATAGCAGCGTGAAAGGCAGACATGTGATAGAGTAGTGGAGGCAGCCTCTCGGCCACTGGGGCATCAAGGAGCAGGAAGGCTTGAGAGGAAAGAGTTAACACAGGTACTAGAGTGAAACCAGAACACCAGCATCTTAACCACATCATCATTAGCCAGGAACTCAACTCCGATGCTTTGCTTTGCTTCTTGGTTCTTTTTGATGTTTTTGTTTGTTTGTTTGTTTGTTTGTTGGGTTGTTTGTTTTTGTTTGTTTGTTTTTTGAGACAGAGAGTCACTATGTCCTGCAACTCACTATATAGAGTACTGAACTTTTTTTTTCTTGAGACAAGGTTTCTCTGTGTAGCCCTGGCTATCCTGGAACTCACTCTGTAGATCAAGCTGACCTGGAACTCACAGAGATCTGCCTGCCTCTGCCTCCCCAGTGCTGGGACGGCATGTGCTGCCATAGCTGCCTTACCGTACCTTCATTTTTAAAATACAAGATAGTGCTTCCTCTTTTATTGGTCTCATCATTTGTGCTGCCAATTTTGAAAAACTGAGAGTACTGTCAAATGTCCAGAGTCACATTTCAGAATGTAGTCACGGACCTTTTTTTTCATTCATTTTTTTTATTACATTATTTATTTTGTCTTTCTATGTGTGTGACACCACATGGGAGGAGTCAGAGGACAACTTTAGGGAATTGATTCTCTCCTTCTACCATGCATGTTCCAAACTTCCAAGTCAAATGGTTTCACCCACTGAGCCATCTCACTGGCCTAGGAGCCTTTCCATCATCAAGTCCTGAGTAAGTAAGAATTCGAGCTGGAGAGATGGCTCAGCCATTAAGAGCACTGACTGCTCTTCCAGAATTCTTGAGTTCAATTCCCAGCAACCACATGGTGGCTCACAACCATCTGTAATGGGATCTGATGCCCTTTTCTGGTGTGTCTGAAGACAGCGACAGTGTACTTGTATACATAAAATAAGTAAATCTTTTTTTTTTTTTTTTTTTTTTTTTTTTTGGTTTTTCAAGACAGGATTTCTCTGTGTAGCCCTGGCTGTCCTGGAACTCACTCTGTAGACCAGGCTGGCCTCGAACTCAGAAATCTGCCTGCCTCTGCCTCCCAAGTGCTGGGATTAAAGGTGTGCGCCACCACTGCCCAGCTAAGTAAATCTTTTTAAAAAGCGAAGAAGAAGTAAGAATTCTGTCCAAAGACACATGACTTCATACATGGCAGCTTCTGAGTAACATGAGATGGAAAGGTAGTTTTTCCTTCACAAAGTGGAGCCCAGCAGCTCCGTGGTGACGACAGTCAGACCCTGGTAACAGGATGCCTGTGGACTGAGTTGCATTCCCCACAAGACTCAGGTTAAAGTCCTGACCCCAAGACTTCAGAATATGACTCCCTGAGATTGTACTGCTGAGGATGTAGTGGACTAAGATGAGCCATGCCGGGGCATGATGGCCCTGACCCCTGACCCTGCTTCTGCTGTCCTCTAGAGGGACGGACACGTAAATGCACAGAATGGCCATGTGGTGGCAGAGGCAGAAACTAGAGTGACAAATTTACAAGCCCAGGAACACGATTCTGACAAGACATGGAGCTGACAGCCGCAGGCCTTTAGATGGAACACGGCTTTCCTCACAGCAGTGTCAGGCCTGGGCCTGCACAACAAGGGAGAATGCATTTCTGTTTGAACCCAGCTTATAGCCATGTATTTCTGAAACTGTAAGAAACTCCTACAGACTACTAAACCTCAGCCTGGGCTAGCTCTCAGCAGGATCTCGACTGGCTCTCCTAATCTGTGTCCATTTGAAGATAAGGCTTCACTAGCGCCACCCCTCCTTGGGATTGTCTTTAATGGTGTGTCCTAGTCAGGGTTCCTGTGGCTGTGATGAAACACAAGACCGAAAGAAAGCTGGACAGGAAAAGGTTTGTTTGGCTTACACTTCAGTGTCACTGATTATCATAGAAGGAAGACAGGACAGGACAGGGTAAGATCCTGGAGGCAGAAGCCATGGAGGGGTGCTGCTTACTGGCTTGCACATCCTACTTTCTTATAGAACCCAGGACTACCCACAGTGGGCTGTGCCCTCCCCCATCAATCACTAGTGAAAAGAAAGCCCTACAGGTTTGTCTACAGCCTGATCTTATGGAAGTTCCCTTCTCTCAGATGACTTTAGCTTGTATCAAGTTAATGTACAACCATCCAGCACATGGTCCTTGTTTTTTGTCAGTAGTCAAACATCTGCCCCATTATGAAAGGCAACTCACTCACCATCTCTAGAATAATAATACTGACATTCTTGCAGGCCCTTCCTGAGGGATGCCTGCCTCAGACTTGTCTTTCTCCTGCCAAGCTGTCATTCCTTTAAAGGCTAAGTTCCCAGATCACAGAGTAGGCACAGGGGGGTGATAGTGTCTACACTGGAAGTGACTACCCAGGATGGCCCTGGTGCTGGCAGCTGGCAGCAGCTGGTGCTTGCCTATAGTCATGCTATGGGCATACAGGATCTGAGCAGCAGATTGCTAACAAAACACATTTCTCCTCTGAACTCTCATACTCTGCAGTTCCCAAACATGGCCCGTGGCAGAACAGTTGGTTGAAGACACTCCTGACCCCTCCTGGGGCCTGTGAGGAGAGCTGTCCCAGGGGTAGGGCACTGAGGACACTGAGCACCTGTTCTCACATTTCTGCCACAAGAATCAGAGCATGATGAGGGGTAGATGACCTTTGTATGCATGCATGGGCCTCTTACCCCACAGAGTTTTGTGAGGTTATATAGGATAAACTATAGACATCATAGAAGAAAAAGTACTTATTTTTGTCAGTGGCCCCTTACTGGAAGCTTTCTTGTACTTTTCCCCTAGGCTGGCAATCAAAAGAATACATTTGTCTCCAAGTACCAGCTAAGCAGGTCAGCAAGGCCTATCGGTTGGCCGCTTTTTGTTAAATAAACAATAAACTTCAGAAGTGTGCTTTATAGTCAGGAACAGCCCATATCCACCCACCTCCTCAAGTGTACCCTTGATCTTGGACACAGTATCTGGCTGTGTCCCAACAACCAAAGTAGCTAGTACAGTTCCCAGAATCTTCCTGCAGACGCAGGCCTAGGTACAGCTTTGGAATAAAGGATGGGCCAGGGCCCAAGAGGGAGAAGCCCTCACCAACCCCTCACTGGTAGCCTTACATAGGGCTGCCTAGCCTGCTCTACTGGTGAGCTGCAGAAGTCAGCAAAGGATATGCTGCCTGAATGTTATTGAGTGGGACCCTCCTGCAGGCCCCACTAGGAGCACCTGGGGACTATCTCTGGATTGGCCAGGAGCCTGTGCTATGCCAAAGACTGACACCAGATTTGCCACAGGCTTCCTCAGCACACAGAGATTGGCTGTATGCGACATCCATTCTACAAGCTCCCATCTGGCATCTGTGATATGGGAACGTCACTATAGTCTAGGGCAGGTCAGAAGGGCGGCCCTTGTGCTTCAGAGTTGTCACCTCAGGGATCCCAAGAGGAAGAAGTTGTAGCCAGCCTGAGACCAGAAGAGGCTCTTAGCCAGCTTGGTGTCACAGATGTGAGGTAGCATAGGGATGACTGGGCTTCTCCGGGCTTCACTGTCACCTCTACTTCTCAGAGGTTCTCTCCAGGTTTCCGGCCTAGCTGCTGTGCTGTCCATTGCCAGAGTGGGGGAATCAGCCACAGTCATAACAAAGGGGAGGCTGGATGTTGCAGGAAACTGAGGTGACCCCTCCTGTCCAGGGGGTAAGAGCTGGAGTGAGCTCAGGTTGGGCTAGAAGGTTAGCAACCACGGGCTGCACACTCAGTCATCCTGGCTAAAGAAGAGCATTGGCAAGCTGGGGCTCAGGTTGAGAGAAATGATAATTCTGTTCTAGGAGTAAAAAAAAAAAAAAACCAACAACAACTTACAGCAACTTAAAAAGCTGTAGTTGGACTAGTGTGATAGCTCAGTGTGTAACGTTGCTTGCTGCTAAACCTGAAGACCTGAGTTTAGTCCCCAGGACCCACTGTGGAAGGAGAGGACCATCTCTCCAAAGTTGTCTTCTGACTTCCATATGCAGGCTGTAGCATGTATATAAACAACACACACACACACACACACACACACACACACACACACGGAGAGAATTTTAAAAGGGTGGGATAGGGTGACTGTAGTTAGCACTGTAGTGAGGGGATCTTTCAGATCATGCAGGCCTAGAACAGACCCAGCTTAGCTTCTCTCAGCCTTAGGAAGTCTGCACTTGTCACTGGAGGGAGGTGCGCCCCAACAGCACTTCTGCCTGAAATCCACATGCCTGGGAAGTAGGCAGATAGACAGTGGATGGAATGGGCTGAACATGTCGGGGGGTGGGGGTGGGGGAGTGGGGACATAAGTGGAGGGGCTGAGCCTCTGCTAAGCATTTCACTAGGAAGGTTTTCTTTTCCTTTAATTCAACCACAGATATTTCTACCTCGTGGTGATCCCTCAGAAACATAATCTGAATGCATTGTCACATGACATGCTTAATGTGCTGAGTCATTTTCTTACCAGGTCGCTCACAAGCATGGTTACAGTGCTGTGGCTGGGTGGGGTGTGGGAGGTCAGAGAGGTTGCTCAGCAGTTAAGAGCACTTCCTGCTCCTGCTGTTCTTGCAGAAGACCTGGGTTCAGTTCCCAGCACCACGTGGCTGCTCACAACCATCTGTCACCCCAGATCCTGGTATTCAGCACCATCTTCTGGCCTTTGTGGGTAGTGCATACACGTGGTACACATGCATATCTGCAGTCAAAACATACATATAACATAGAAATAATCTTTTTAAAAATGTGGTGTTGGACACATTTGTGTCTCTTCCTCAGAAGATCGACTAGGATCTCCTGTGCTGGGTCTTGCTTGGCTTATGACCAGAGAAATTGGTAACAAGTCAGACTCGAGCCTCGATTTGCACTGATGGGCACTTGAAACACCTCTAGGCATGTTGAGTTGCTTTTTCTTTCCCTTTTTGTTCTCACTGTCAGTTTACCCTGCACCTCATGCTCACCTGACCCACCTCATGCTGTCCCAGGCTTAGGGGCTCTGCCACCTGACCTGTTTGGATGTTTTCTGTTACAGTTGTAATTCCTGCTCCTCTCCTTTTTCAGTTGTGTTCTACCCAGTGAATTGTCTTACTGTTCTAAGACTTCATAGACGTCATAAAGCCAGGGCTGGAGAGATGGCCCAAAGGTTAAGAGCACTGGCTGTTCTTCCAGAGGACCCAGGTTCAATTCCCAGCACCCACATGGCAGCTCATAGCTATCTGTAACTTAAGTTCCAGGAGATACAACAACCTCACATAGACATACATCTAGGCAAAACACCAATGCACAAAATATAAAAATAAATAAATCTTGGCCTGGCAGTGGTAGCACACACCTTTAATCCCAGCACTTGGGAGGCAGAGGCAGGTAGATCTCTGGGCTGAAGGCAAGCCTGGTCTACAAACCTAGTTCCTGGACAGCCATGGATACACAGAGGAAACCCTGTCTCAAAAAAACAATCAATCAATCAATCTTTTTTAAAAATTAAAAAAATTCATAAAGCCGTAGGCATGTGACTGAACTGTCACCCCTCTAGAGCTCCCCTGACACTCTTCTCCTTCCTAGCCCCGTGACCCTTGTCTGTGTCTGCGAATCCCGTCACTCACGCAGTGCCTCACAAACCGACACGCCCCTCGAGGCAGACGGGGCATACTACGCCTTTGGGTCAGGAGGGTCGTTGCGTCATAGGAACTTTTTCCTGGGGACACAAACAAGCTTCTACACACTCCATATAGTGCTTGACGACAAACCAAAATATGATTCTACCAAAGCCCAACTGGGGGAATCCAAGAGCTTATCGGGCTTCTCACAGATCTGTGTGAGCGGCAACCTACAAGCACATGGGGAACTCTGGAGCAATCACGCTACCAATTTAGCCCCACTGTGGGCAGCGACTTTCCCATGGCTGTAGAGATAGAACCCCTGCCTTCAGTTAACCTCCCACAGTCTATATAAACCCGGACACATCTCTAGACCATGAGGCCGTGTGTAGTTGGGACAAGACTGGATACTGCTTGGTACGAAGTGCAGTGAGGAGAGGCCAGAACATGAGGTGAGGGCCTTCATTCCCACTGTGAGGAAGTGTCATCAGTCAGCAAGACAGATCCTGGGGGTCTCTTTCAAATAATCAGTGTTTCTGATAAAGATGGTGGTTGTTACAGTCGGAGGATAGTGCTCTACCGTGCACTGCAGGTTTGGAGGACAGGGTATGACCCTGAACTGGAACAAAGGACCTCTTCCTTTGTATCCCTAGTTATTCTCCCTTGTTGTGTGTGTGGTTGGCAGGTACCCCCTCAGCAGCATGAAGGAGAAATAAGAACAGATTCTCCATCTAGTGAAATCCAGAGGTTACAAGAACAGAATGCAGGTCTGCGGAACGCTGTTTCACAGATGAGGAGAGAGATGGAGATGCTGAGCGGTCATCTTCCCTCTGCCCAGCCAGAAGAATGTTCAAACACAAACCCTGATCCCAAGGCTGGGGGAGATTCGGCCCCTCCAGGTGAGCAGGCAGAGATGGAGGCAAAGAGGAGTAAAGAAGGGAAAATGGTGGGGATGTGGGAACCAGACAGAACAGGGAGAATCCCCTGGGTGGGCTTCTCATTCCAGTCGTGATACATCACCACAGAGTACAGCAATTGCTTGTCCTCCAAGAGAAAAACTTAAGTTTTGTTAACAATGTTTCTTTGGCGACATAGGGGAAAAGTGCAGGGTGGATATTTGATGCCCCTGGCAAGCAGTCAGACTGGGCAGGATGTGGCTGTGCTAGCAGGGTTGTCGGGCAGGCCTTCCTCAGGAGGAGCATTCTATGGAAGGTCTGAGTTGGCAGCCCAACCTATGTCTTGTTCTTAGCAGGCTCCATGACTGCTTCTAAGGGACAAGTCCCTGATGTGGGAGTTATTCCCTCCATTCAGAAAGGCTATGGGAATGGAGGCAGGCAAATTTTCCTCTTGATCCCAAAGCCTTCCTAGAGGACATGGAGGCTAACCTGAGAAGTGAAGGCTGGTCCAGAGAGTTGGGGGGAGAGAGATTAGGGGCAGAGGAGAGCCTGTGAGCCCTGCAGCTTTGGCATTAGGGCAGTGGTGTAAGTGTGTTGTGTTGTTCCCTGGTGGTTTTGGCAGATTATGTTCGGGCCCTTGAAGCAGAAATGCAAACCCTAAAGCATAAACTTAAGGCGTTGGAAGAGCAGCTACAAGGCCCAGAAGAGCCAGTGAAGACGTCTGTGGCCACCGCTGATCCACACCATAGTGGCCACAGCTCTGCAGAAGCAGCTGGTGAGAGCCCCTGGCTACCTGAACCTTATTCTCTGTCCCAGTAATGCTGAATGTGTGAAAATTAAGATGTATGGTCAGTGGTGGCACAAGCCTTTAATCCCAGTGCTTTGGAGGCAGAGGCAGGCAGATCTGTGTGATTTTGAAGCCAGCCTGGTCTTCAGGGTGTGAGTTTCAGAACAGCCAGGGCTACACAGAGAAACCCTGTCTAAAAGAAAAGAAAAAGAAAAATTTACAAATTAGTTTACAAAATTAATTACAAATTAATTTAAAAATTAAACAATGTCTAAGAATAAAGAAAATTGATATAAATTCCCTATGGCAAGTCTTCCAAATGCATGCACAGCTACACAGTCTTTATTACCACCAGACAGCCTGTTTCCAGAAGAGGAGCTCCCTGGAAGTCCCTAGTGTTGGGGGGGAGTTCTGTTTTCTCATGTGAGTACAATTATGTGGCACATGAGCATCTATCTCTCTGGTGTCTTTTGGCCTAAATTGAGTTTTAGTGGACTGTGCCAGGCTTTACAGTGCGTGTCCGTCAGACTGATGGACAGTCACTGCCCACCCGCAGTTTGCAGGGCAGCTCCACAATGTACATGATCTGTTTTCCTGGTTAGCCGCCCCAGAGTCTGTGTGGGCACATCCTGATACAGTGTGAATTTCAGTCCATGTGAACATAGACATCTTTTCCTGGGCTTTTGGGATCCTCATCTGCCCCGGCCGTCACAGTGAGTTATTAGTTACATTTCTGTGGCTGTGACAAAGCACCAAGAGTTAGACACCTTATAGAAGAAAACACTTATTTTGGTTTATAGTTGCAGAGGGTGAGAGTCCATAAAGACAAGGCTGAGGCAGCAGACAGGTATGGCAACTGGGAAAGAGTAGGGAGAGCTCCATCTTGAGCTACAAGCACAAAGCACATAGAAGTGTGGCATCTTTACCTCCAGTGACCTCCTCCATCAAGGCCACACCCCCAAACCTCCCTAAACACTGCCACCAAGTGGGAACCAAGTGTCCAAACATCTGAGCCTGTGAGGGACAGTATCATGAAAATCACAACAGTGAAATACTGCCAGCCTGGCCTTACACCTATGCTGGTGGCCACTTAGGACCTCTGAGAGACCCTGGAGTTCTGAGCAGCACTCCCACTGCCAAGACACAGACATGTGTTGTCCTCAGGCTCTCCACAGATCAGCTCTTCCCAGGAGTGTGCTGTCCTTGGTGCAGAGCTGATGCAAGCAGGGGAGCGGGAACACGGAGAACGGACATCTTTCCTAGAACAGGCTTGCCCTGGGCCTTCTTTCCATTCTTTACAAGGAAGAAGAATGTCTGAGGTGCAGTGTGCATCCATCCCCTAGTACCTGAGGGAAGGAAGGACAGAAGCTCACATGGGTCATCCAGGGCCCAGCCCTGATCAAGGGGCTTCTCCCTCTCACCTTGCAGAGCCATCTGTGTGCCAGGTTGTGATTAGTGAGCAAAGCTGGGTGGAATGCCCTGTCCTTTCAGGCCACCCTTTCCTGGGAAGGAGCCCGGGCACTGTGGTGCATGCTTCCTTATGGGTCCTGGGAAGGAGCCCGGGCACTGTGGTGCATGCTTCCTTATGGGCTGCCCCACCTAGCTTGCCAACCTTTCATGGGGAAGTACTACATTTGTGCTCAGGAGTAAGATAGACTTGCCACTTTGTTTCCTTTTTTGTAATGTTCTGGTCAGGATACTACTCTGGCCTTAGAGAGATGCATGATCAGACACACACCTTTTTCTTAAACGATTTATTGAATTTAACTTTCAAATCCCCAGAGCCTAGAGTTTTTCTTGTGGGAAGATTTGAAACTTAAGTACGTATTTGTAATTAATTGACTGATCATATTTTCTTCCTTTCTTTTTTTCTGAGACTCACTCTGTAGACCAGGGTGGCCTCAAACTCACAGAGATCCCCCTGCCTCTGACTCCTGAGTGCTGGGACTAACAGTGTGTGCTGACACTGCTGTGTTTCCTTTTTATGTATTTTGTGTCACGGTATAGTAAGAAATTATCCATTTCATCATTTTCAAAGTTCTAGGATGATGCTTCTTATCCTATCTGTTTCATTCATTTACTTCTTTGAGACAATAATCCTCCTGCCTCCACTTCCTGAGTACCTGAGACTGCAGCTGTATTGCTGTCCTGTCTGTACTGAGTCTTAAATGTCCATAGACACTTCCCCACACATCATATTGGACATTTACTCTGCGCTCCTCTGCTCTTTCTCGGTGCTCTCCTGGGAGTGTGCAGTAATTGACCTCTTTACTCAGTACTTACAACAAGTCGGGCATTGCAATGGCTGGCACTAGAGTATATAATACTCTCTAGTCCATCAGCAGTTAGTGTTAATCATATTCTGCCCTTTCTTCTCGATTATTTGTTTTTCATGGCTATTCTTTTATTTCTAAGATATGCACCTAATGCTATAAATGTTCTTGTTCCTTTTTTGTGCAGTGCTAGGACTGGACCCAGAGTCCAGCTCACAGTGGCTCTGGCCTGGAACCCAGAGCCTGGCTCACAGTGGCTCTGGCCTGCTCTCGGCCTCTGAGCTCTTGCCACAACCAGTGGCTTTGGTTTTGGTTTTTACATGTATGGTGGGTGTTTTACCTACATGTGTCTGTGTACCACATGTGTACCTGGTAACTGCAGAGGCCAGAAAAGGGTGTCAAATCCTCTGGAACTGAAGTTACAGATGGTTGTGAGCTAGCATGTGAGTGCTGGGAACCAAACCCCATCATCTGGGAAAACAGCAAGTGCGCTATACCCTGGGACATCTCCTCAGTCAGTCAGGTCCAACCCCACAGCCAGCTTTTTATTTCAAGACATTCTCACTAAGTAGATTAGACTGGCCTTGAACTCACTCCAAAGCCTTCTCCCATCCGGCCTAGATGCTGTGTTTCCTTGAAAGGACAGCTTTACATATATTTTATTATTATTATTATTATTATTATTATTTTACATATTTTATTTTACAACATTCTTAGAGTTGTTTTTACCATTCTATACAAAATAACTTGGAGTATCAAGTGTCAGTTCTTCTTTGACCCAGGTATTATGTAAGCATCTTTCTTTCTTTCTTTCTTTCTTTCTTTTTTTTTTTTTTTTTTTTGTTTGTTTTTCGAGACAGGGTTTCTCTGTGTAGCCCTGGCTGTCCTGGAACTCACTCTGTAGACCAGGCTAGCCTCAAACTCTCGAACTCAGAAATCCACCTGCCTCTGCCTTCCAAGTGCTGGGATTAAAGGCGTGCGCCACCACCGCCCGGCCCCCTTTTTTTCTTTCTTTCCAAATAAATGGCCCTGTATTTAAGTGGGAAAGTTGATCAGATCTAAAATGGTAAGTAAGGCTGGGTTTCTTCATAGTCCTGTGTGCTCCCTTCTCTCTCTCTCTCTCTCTCTCTCTCTCTCTCTCTCTCTCTCTCTCTCTCTCTCTCTC